TTTTAAGTTCAGTTTAGGTTCATGTTCAATGATCTGCAAAATTTAAAGATTAGTTTAGATTCAATGAACTTGGTTCATAAATCTAAACTGAACTAAACTAAATTTAGGAACACTAGTTAGCAACAAAATGATTTACATATGTACTTTGAATTTGAAATTTGTAGAAAATAAATTTTCATCAATTGTTATCTGCAAGCATATATATAAGTTAATAATTCTAAAATATAATTAATAAATAGTTAATAGCAAAATAGATACATATATTAAAATATAGCAAAAAACTAAAACTAGTTGTGATCAATATCTCTAAAGTGGTCTTGGCAATAATGTAAAAAATATAACTTTAAATTATCTTATAAAATCATATGAATATAAAAGCTACTTGAATCTATACTTTATTTATATAATATTGGTAATAATCACTACTGGTAATAACTAGTAATTTTGTTTAATTTTTTAATAACATAGTTATACTTTTTTATTTAATGTAGTTTAAAAAAATCTATTAAGTAACTTTATAAAACTATGTTAGTTTTTAAAATCTCATTATTGTAAAAAATTGATGCATTTTGAAAATTAAAACTTTATATATAAATTTATAAATTTACATATAAAATTTCAATTTTCAAAATGTATCAATTCTTTACAGTAATAAAATTTTGAAAAAATATTTGACAAATATATATATAAACTAATATAGTTTTATAAAGTTACTGATTAGATTTTTTAAAAACCCTTTAAATAAAAAATAACCATTTAAAAAATTGAAACACTTCATGTAACCGTTAATTATAAACTTCCTGCACCATATAAGTTTTTTTTTTTACATTACATCAGATCCTTGTATAAAAAAAAAATGTTTATTTTCACAATACAATAATATACTAAATTTTGTTTCTGTGTAATAGTAACAAATTTGTAGAGGTTACATATTCAACCGAGTTGTAAATTCTGAACCTGTTTAACACCGGTGACCGGTTTACTATAATCTGGTTCTAAATTCTACCTTTGACAATCTAGCCCGTTTTTTGACAATAATATTATTCTCGATTGCAAATTCAATAACCAATCTCTTTTTTTCACCAAATATGCCCGGATTGTTGTTAAGATATCTCAATGCTGCTAATGCATGAGAATGTTGTGTGAATTCAAGAAATCCATAACCTTTCGATCGCAGTTTTTTCGTTGAAGAATCAATTCGATCTTTTGATCGAATAATTTTAGCCTGAAAAATATGTTATTTAATATTACCTACATATTGAAGCACAAAATTTATTGTCGCGGCTGAAGCTTGAAATAGGGACCTCGATTTAAAAATACAAACCCTACAATAATCCACTTATACACTTAATTATCAAAACTATCCTAAACCCTAATCTAACTATTAAAAAGATGCTAAAAAAATGCTCTCCCAAAATTTCTAAAAATTTCATATTAAAATAATTAAAATCTCAAGCTTCAGCCGTGACATTTATTATTGTTATGAATTTCAATACCTGTTTTATGTGAACTAGTTTGTCCCACCCTTCCATTTTCTCCGTTTTTGTTAAGTCCGTTCTTTTACCTTTTTTAACTTCCTCTTTAAACTTTCTAATGCTCTCCTTGCCTAAATTTTTTAATTTTTTTTCGTCTACGAAAAGTGGCAAATTTCGCACAGACAATCTAGTTTTTGATATAAAGAGATTTGGATTTTTTGCTAATAAATTCTTTCGAACAGAAGATGATGCAGCACGTTTAGTTACTTCCAAAGGTGGTAGCGATGCTGCATCTGGTGTGTTTGGAAATACAACTATAAGCCAAGTAATTAAATAAAATAAGAAATTTAATAAATCAGCAGAAAAAAGTTTTATTCCAATTACAATTCACCATACCTCCTTCTTTAATTAAGTATGTATTTCTTCGATCTTCTTTTCGCCTTTTATTTTTATTCTTTTCCATTAATCTACGTGCTTCATCCTTATCAACAGCTTTAACCACTGATAAAACTCTACCATGCAATGTAAATTTGAGCGCTTGCGAGTCCGATGGATCAGCTGTGAGAACTGATTTATGAATTATCCTTTTCCGTTTCTTTTCATTGGTCGACAGGCCTAGCCGTTCAATTGA